ATGGTTGGGGAGACTTTAACCTAAGCAATAACAATTTAGAGCTAGTACCTAGTTCGTTTTTTTCTTTCCTCCCTGAGTAATTGTGATATTTTTTTATTAGCTCTGTATTTAAATTAAATTCTAAATTAACTGTCTACAATAAATTGATATATTCACAAGAATTTATTCATGTTATGTTGTCGTTTTAACTTAAAATCAAGACTTTTTTTTGGTCCCATTTTTCTTGTCTTAATATTATTAATGTTCAGAATCTATTAATTAATTTGTTAATCATTAAAAAAGCTATTAGACTAGCAAACAACAATATCAAAACAAACCTATCTCTATGTTCATCACTTAGTGTGGTAGATAAATTAGATCAATGCAATTATTTCTAAAATAGCAACCCACGAACTGATCTAATTTTTTAAATATAAAAAATATTAGATCAATGCAATTATTTCTAAAACAGCAAAAAAGTACATGATTTGTGTAATTGATCGATTGAATTTTATAAACTTAGCTAAAAAATGATAAATAAAATAAAACAAATTGACAATAAAAAACAAGTTAAAAACTCAACTCGAGCTTATCAAGGTTAGCGTGTCAAATATGCGACTTGGTTGTGCCACCGAGGTATAACCACATCAAAAGTAAATTGAATAAAATCATGAAATCAAATCAGGTAAACCCACCAATTCTGCAATCATGGACATAAGATTGGATAACTCCATGAAAATAAAAGCAAAAACAAAAAAACCAATTTTCAATCAATAAAAAATGAAGGATAAAATTTTTTTAAAAATCATTTTTTAAAAATTAAATGTTAAAGGATCTTCTTTGATAATAAATAAAAAACTAATTAAGAAGATGATAACCCTATAGAAAGTATAAGAAACAAAAATCCAAAACTCAATTTCTAAATAAAATATTGATGGAAGAAATTGAAGAAAAAAAATATAATTCAAAACAGATAAATAAAAACCCTAACTTAAGTTCATTGATTCAACATGCAAAATTTGTGATCTAATTGTGTTATTAAGGTAACTTTGTTAAAAGCAAATTGAATAAAACTATGAAACTTAATTATCAAACAATACAATTAACGTAGAAGAGTGAGGTAATGCCAATTATTTTCAAAATATGTGAGAAACCCAATAGAAAATATTAAAAAAAATAATGAAGCCCAATCTTTAATTAAATAAATGATGAGTTATAAAATTAAAAAAATTAAAAAAAAAACAAAAAAAACCCTAATAAATCTTTTAAACCTGGATTATTCTCTCAAAATTATAACTTGTGAAATCCTAGATTTGAGCTTAATCAATAACCTCAATTCCTAACTAATTCAATATTAAAGAATGGATATGGAAAAGATAACAATTTAAATTTTTTGATAAAATAAAAACAATAATAATTAAAAAAATAATTATTAAATTTGATAGGAAACAAAAGCATAAAATGAGAAGAAAAATACTAAAAATAAGGTTAGGAAGAGCATGTAATCTTTTTTAAATAAAACACTATAAGAACTTTCCTTTCAATTTTTTTTTATATTTATAATAAATTTTAAAAGTTAAAAGGTTATAAAATTTATTATAATCATAATAAGAATTAATTTCACCATATAATTTTAATCAGTCATTATAAATCAATACCCTTAAAGACAAAACAAAAAATAAATAGCACCAGGGCTTTTTATACCTTTCCTTTATTTAGGCAAAGTAAAAAAAAATATATTTAAAATAATAAATTGCATCCTAATCCGATTGGAAAAAGAAAGGAAAGACCGTCTACTGAAATATATCTCTATTGGTTTTAAGAATTTAAGACGGACATTAACTACTTCAAGAAACCAAAGCAATCAACATATATTTCCGAGTCGCAAACGGAAGACAAGATCCCTATATATTCACTCAACCAGCCTTACAATTCTCTATCCAAAAACAATTCCTTCCCCGTGCTCCGTAGTCTCTAGTCATCACCGATCTTTCTTCTTTCAACCCCTTTAATTTGTTGCATACACATGGCCCGTTCTGTGATTTTTCTGGTTGCCATCTTTCTTTCTTTCTGCGCATTGTCATGCATAGCACAACAACAACCATGCACGACCTATAAATTTTCAAACAACAAACAGTTCTCTTCTTGCAGCGACTTGCCTGTTTTGAGTTCCTCTCTTCACTGGAACTACCATCCATTATCCAGCAGAGTTGAGGTTGCCTTCAGGCATACTGGCGTGACCGATCGCAAATGGATTGCTTGGGCTATCAATCCAACTTCAGGAGGGATGATTGGTTCGCAAGCAATCGTTTCTTTTCAGAGAACGGATGGAAGTCTTGCTGTCTATACTTCGCCTATAACAAGTTATGGAACGCGATTGGAACAAGGAAATCTTAGCTTTCCTGTCTCGGACTTGTCTGCTACTAATCAGAACAACGAGATGATAATCTATGCAAGCTTAGAGCTCCATGGAAACATCAGCACAGTGAATCATCTCTGGCAAGTAGGCCCAATGTCTGAAAACACTCCAATGATGCATAGTGTTGCTCCATCCAGTCCCAACGTTAAATCCATGGGGAGTTTGGACTTCCTTTCAGGAAGGATTAAAGCGACTAGAAGTTCTTCAACAACACTGAAAAATGTCCATGGAATATTGAACACAGTAAGTTGGGGTATTCTAATGCCTATTGGGGTCGTCATTGCAAGATACTTGAAGAGGTTTGAATCTGCAGGCCCTTTATGGTTCTACTTGCATGTCAGTTGTCAACTGCTGGCTTATATTCTTGGTGGTCTGTCTGGATTTGGGACTGGAATATTTCTTGGCATAAGGTCTAATGGAATTGAACATGGCTGTCACAAAATCATCGGCATTGTGCTCTTCTGTCTTGCAACAGCACAGGTGTTTGGTGGTCTGGTCAGACCTGACAAAGATAGCAAGTATCGTCCCTTCTTCAACTGGTTCCACGTCCTGGCGGGTTGCTCAACACTTATCCTAAGCATATTTAACATATACAAAGGATTTGACATATTGCACGCCGCAAGATTTTGGAGGCTTACCTACAGTGGCATAATACTAACTTTGCTACTAGTCACGCTACTGTTGGAAATATGCACAAGATGGTGCGTGCCGATAACTAAGCGTTCGATGTCAAATACCGTGGACAAAAACACATCCACTGTCGCTGCAGTGGCTGTAACGGAGGTTTAGATTTGGGATGCGTAATGCTGCATTGGAACATGCGAAAAAAAGGAACTTATTACAGGTGGTCAAGGAGCGCTACTAGTGGAGGAGGTTCTGATGCAAAATATTTGATCTACATTGTTTTTAATTAACCAGAAAGTAGTTTTTATTTTTAATTTTCATTGTTTAACAACTACCTTTTATGTTGAATAATATTAATTGAATCCCTTTATACTGATTCTATTAAGCTTGGGATCACTATTTGTTTTTCCTACTCTGTTATCCCATGCTATACTGATCTTCTATGTTGGACATCCTCATCAAAGTTATCTTTATAATGCTCGTGTGGTGGTGCCCTTTAATATCTTTCTCGTAGAATAAATTTCCACTTGAGGAATGTCATTAATACAGGGTTAGAGAAGATAGAGAATTTAGCTTATTGGTATTGTTTAGCAGATTAAGTAATGAAAAGAAGAGTCAGGGTGTTGGCCTAGGAAAGCAAGACGATGTCTTTCATGGATTCCTTTTGACCTTTCTTGGTATTAAATCCGTTCTTTTGTGGTATTAGAGCCTGGATAGCTGCATTGCAGAATCTGACAACGCAGTTGTGAGGAAAATTGGCACCAGGATATTGTTGAGGGAGGAATGCTGTGGTTATGGGGTTGGGATGAAGGGGATGATAAGGGGTCATACAATTCCGGAAGCTGGGAACAATGGGGTTTATAATAATGGAACATTTGAGATTGATGTGGAATGTCAAAAGATGTATAATGAGTTGCCTGACGTTTTGGAGATCAACAGGAATTCAGAGTTATGAGATCTGTCATCAAAACCTTGGTATCAGAAAAGAAAAAAAAAACAGTGCAATTTCTTCTATGGGTTCTTTTGTCTGATAAGATATGATGGATTTTGGGGTTTTAATTCTTTTGTAGTTTTGATGGAGGTTGATGTAGGGCTTGTAAGATTTCAAAAGAAAAGAAGTTCATATCTTGATGTTCAGATTGCTTCCAAACAAAAAGTTGCTCGGAGTTTGTGTCTTGTTCCTGCAATTTTTCAAGCGGAAATGCAACTGGTTGCTGCCAAGAACAAGAAGAGCAAGGTAGAAAATTGTTGCAACTAGTGACTACATACTGTCTCTTCTTAATAACACGATCCGATGGCCATGACATTATAAATACGATGCTCTAACCTCTGAGCTAAGCGGGTTCACATAACAGAAAGTGCACATGCATAAGATTTAGTTTGGCTAAGGATCTGTTATATATTGAAGTTGGAAAGTTCCTTTCCAAATATCCCCTTCCTGTGTCGTTTAGGTAGCTGTGTTTGGAAGGCACCATGAAATTGGTATCAAATCAACCATTTATCATGTCTGGCATGAGTTTGCGGCTCACACCATCTCCATGGTCTCAAGAGACCGGTCAAAATGTGTTAGCTTTATTGTTATTGGATTAGTCTACACCCTAACGTTGAATTCATCAAGCAATGTCTCATAGGACATCCAATTTGAAAGGAAAGGGGATTAGTTATAGAGCTTTTGGCATTTCCCACTGTGCAGAGCCTACCTACGGCTTAACTGAGACTGGAGAGAAGCGAGAGCAGTAGAGTTTTACAAGTGAAACTCCGTGGCATTATGAAACAGCCGAAACAAGAAAGCGGCAAAGAACATATTTGAGTTTGAATGTAGGAACATTCTCATTGAAGATTAAAACTTTATAGTTACTCTGCTTCACATAACCATGCTTGCTAAGCAAAATAAAAACCCAGATAAAAGTAGAAACATCAGCAAATCAAGTAAATGGACTTGCAGTTCTATACAGCAGTATCATATACAATTTATTCAATAGACATGGATTCCAGGAAAAAATATGTACAAATTTGTTTTCTGTCAAATAAAGGGAAGGTAGAATAGGCTAGAGTTAAACCTGCTACCCTCTCCCAATTGGTATAGAACCGCCGTCGCTAATATAACCAATTTGTCATAAATTATTTTTAAGGGAAAATATACAATATTTTACAACAAAAGACTGCAAAATTGCAGAGTTAAGCAACTAAAACAATCACCATTATGATGGTTATTTGTATCATGTACTCAAATATTTTCCAGGCAAATGACGAATTACATGCGAATTCAGATTAAAGTTACTCTCCCATGTTTTCATTATCATGCTGATCAAGTACAGTGAAAGTGCAAAATCAAAAGTAGAAACAACACATTCACAAATTAACCATTCTCCTGGTTCTGATCACATTATTACACCAAGGATCATATGGTCAACCCTTAGATGGGATGGTTGCCTCAGACTCTAATGCCTATCAAGTACAGTAAAAGTGCAAAATCGAAAGTAGAAACAGCACATTCACAAATTAACCACTCTCTTGTTTCTGATCACATTATTACACCAAGCATCATATGGTCAAGCCTTAGATGGGATGGTTGCCTCAGACTCTTCCTTGCTTTTCTGCTGTTCAAACTTATCAATAGCAGTCTGAAGTTCGTCTGTCCCTCCAACAGCTCTCATGGTGTAGAAATAAACCCCAAAAACAAATGCTGACAAGCCTCCAGCAACTACCAGATTCTTGGTCTTAGGTGCAAGGCTACTGAATCCAGCCATCTTGTAACCGAATCTTGTAGCAGAAAATGTATTATACTGCCAAAGTTGCAGATGCAGGAAAGGAAATATATGAATTAATCCGTTTTTCTAGGCATCTTGTGGCGAACAAAACATGCTTTCATGAAAGCGAATTATAGCACCGGATTCAAATTCTTTCATTGGCAAATATGGAAAATATTACAGGAGGTATTCTTAATTGCTAATGAAGATATTACCCAATTGAATTGCACCCATGGACTAAACAGATCTCACTAATACTGAAACTTCATGCAATTAAACTCAGAAATGTTTTCGATAGTTTCTCTTCCTCACAAGTACACTGCTATCATCAGCTCTACACCTGCAATATTATTTTTCTGTTTCACTAATCTAGCTCTCCTCTCTCTTAATCTCCTTCATCAATCAACCATCAGTCCATTGAAGAAAAAGAAAGGACCTTGAAATTCAACATGAAATGTATTTTTTTCTTCAAAAATGCACCTGCTAGCAACATGTAAAAATACCTTGAAAGTTGACACTGAAAAAAAAGGGCCCTACTGATCAGTCTAGCTTCTGGAATAAACAAGAAAGACAAAGACCCTACTTGGTAAAGAAATAGTTTGTTCTTTCAACACTTATCATTGCTCACACACACATACAAGTCCTTTCCAAATGTTTTCGGAATTTTCAATGCACATATGATTTGATTTCTCAAAATTTAAAGTTTTCATTCAACTATATGAATCACCATTTGACAACCAAAACCCCAATTCAACTTCTTTCCTTGGCAGAAATGCAACATAAACACTCATTCCTCTTCACAACAATAGTAAAGTAATAACTCATCGGCCTGCTACTAACGATAAAAAAACCCGATCAGACCATGTAAAAATCAGGGAATCCAAATTTCAACAAACTCAACAATAAAACACTCATCAATCCAACACTAGAATGACACTTAATCCACAGTTTGGCACCTTAAACCAGAGAAAAATGAAGAAACAAAATCTGGGTTTTGAACATCATGTTGACTTTTAACTTCACAGCAGCTGAAGATGAAATTTTACTAATCCAGACAGCTAAATCAAACTAAAGTAGAAAAATAAGCAACCAAAAAAAATACCATCAAGAAAATGAATTCGAACATCAATAAGTTACAGCCTTGCAAATTAAAAACGAACCTGAAATCGTGGAGTTCTTTCAGTGAAGCTCAAAACCCTTTAATAAACCCTAAGAACTGTGACTTCTTTTTGTCTCTTTATGATTTCTTGGGTTCTTGAGAATTGCTAACGACAACAGGTGGTTGCTACTGAATACCGACTAGCACGGCATGTAATCTGCTTGCCATTGTTGGGCCTCCTATAATGGTATATGGGCCAGTTATAAGATCAAGATGGGCTATGGGCTTCGAATCTGTTATTAGGCCACCTCTTATTGGTGCTGGTTTATCAGAAGCCCGAAGCATGAATTTGCCTTTAATTAGATTGAGGATTTGTTAAACTTGGCCCAGCATAGTTTACATTGTGAGTTTACTGTGTCTGAGTGACATTTGTTTTACTTTTTAAAAATTTATTTTTAATATTAGTATATTAAAATATTAAAAATAAAAAAATAATTTCAAATAAAAAAAATATTTTTTTTTTGAAAATTTCTGCTTAAAAAACAAACTTCCACTGTAAAGAACACGACAGGTATAAATCAAATTGACAAAAAATTAAAAGTAAGCGAATCTCTAAAATTGCAAAGGCCAAGGCCAGTTTTTCAACTCCTCTTCTTGAACTTTTCCATTTCTATCAAAAGAACCAGCGCCACTCCCATGTCCTTCTGCAAAAGCATAGTACCTCGACAAGAAAGCAAGAACCAACACAACCCGTTAAGCAAAAGATCAGCAAACAAAGCCCACCAGCTAACTTTAAGATAACAGCACCATCTTCCTCTCTCACGAAGACTTCAAGTACCCCAAGAAATCACCAGTCTGTGTAAAGATAAGGACCGAAACTGATCCTTGAAATATTGCTGTTAGAGAGGTGCTGATCATGTGAGCTGCATACCATTGCTTGGATCCAGATAAGGCCACAGAACAGCCAGATACAGCTGAAATGATGGTGAACATGTGCAGGAGAACGACAAAGAAGCCGCAGAGGGAAGGGAATAAACGTAGAGAAAGAGTGAGGAATATGCAACTAGAGGCTGCACACAAGAGAATGTAGTTGCATATGGTGAAGAATATATGCGTTGAGTGGTGGGATTCAGTCACTGGACAAGATTTGTGATTGTTAATGAGACCCATTTGAGAAAATTGATGATTTGCTGTAATGAGAAGCTGGACTTTGAAGATTGAAATACAATTATTTTTTTGTTGAGATTGTGACTGATTTGTTGAAAGGAAAATGGGATGGCAAGTATACATATGCAAGGGCTAGAAGCTGGTGCAGCAGGGAAGTGACCGTTAAAAGAGGGTTTGCCATCGGCTAGTTTTCCTACTGTGACTTCATTCGTCGCCAATAATTCTAGCAGGCTGGTTTGCTTATCAACGGCTGGTTTTAAGCACAGATATATGACCCGATCCATGGGTCAACTGGCCCAAGATCTGGGTTACAGGTTGGGTAGGTTGACCTCATCCGGGTCAGACCCCAAGTAAGCAAATCATGGACCCGAGCTGACTAGACCGGGCTGAGACAAGTCTTATACCTAACGGTATTATCATACTCCAGCCAACAAGGCAATCATTCCAGAAATGCTCCCAAGTAAACCCCCGGAAATGCTCTCGTTGTTGCCAACAGATCATTCTAGGGAGACTGACAAAACTGTAAGATACAAATTGCTGCAGCTATATCACCATGCTTGGACAGTGAAAATAGCTGGAAACTTGCTTAGATCAAAGAGTACAAGTCCGAAAACTTTATTTCATATCCAACAAACACTCACTGTGCGCATATTCATAGATATTTCAGTAGAACAAGATAGCCAGCAAGTAATAAGGACTACAAACAAGTCAGCAAGATATAAGAAAGATCAGTAAAACATACATCAACATCACATAGGTTGAATTAAGCTCAAAAGCTACAGAAGTAGTACAACCTATTCAATCGTTTAGTTGGGTACTGACAAGCAGGCCCCAAAATATCTTCCCTGTTACTAACAACTCATTTTGGACAGGCTGACAAAGCAGTGATCAGATTTCCCCAAGATAAATCTGTTTGTCACTGCTGCATGATCCAATGATAGGCTCAGTAGGATGGAAGACACACTCATTGACAGATCCAGTGTGACCAGGAAGCTTATACAAGATGCGTCGAGAAGTTGTGTCCCATATGTAAACCATGCGATCTGCACTACCAGCAGTGACCTTGCTTCCATCTGGTGACCAGCTACATTTTAACAAGTTCTTTTCAAAGTTGTGTTGGTGCCCTTCAAAAATCTTTACACAACGATTTTGTGGTGCATAGGGGCGCATGTCCCAAATGCAAAGCTTGTTGTCCATGCCATTCGTAAGCAGATATGAGCCATCAGGACTCAACTGCATACCTGTTATCATATCTTGATGGCCCTCAAGTGTCATGGTCACTTCACCCTTGCGGATGTCCCATACCTTAACATCATTATCTATACCACCTGTGAATATCTTATCCGATGCATCAGAGAAACTGACAGCTGTGATTTGGTATTTATCTGGAAATGTTTGGATGGCACCCTTCTGGCGCAAATCCCAAAGTTTTGAAGTTCCATCATCAGATCCACTTACAACAAGTGGAGGCCCCCTACGGGAAGGGCAACACGAATTCACAAAAGAGGAGTGTTCTGCCATTTTCTTTATCTGTTTTCCGGTCTCAACATCCCATGCCCTGACAGTTTTGTCAGGACTGGCTGATATAATCTGGGACCCATCAGCAGTCCAATGAAGATCTAAAACTGCATTTTTGTGCCCTCTCATAACCATGAAGTTTTTGCATTCCCCATGCATGTACCACAGAAAAATTTCCTTGTCATGAGATCCCGATGCAATGACATTTCCAGCTGGATTGAACTTCATAGTATATATAGCACTCTGGTGACCAGTAAGCAACATGATAGGTGATTCCAAGCTTGATCTACGCTGCTTCCCATTATGTCCAGGTCCTTGTGACCCTGTATATGGAACAGTAGACCACTCCATTGGCCTTGGACCAGAGACAGACAAAGCACTTTCACTCTCCCTAGGCACAACTTGCATCTTGACTTCTGCTATATGAAGGAACTAAAATCCTGAATAGGAATACAGCATAAAGTTAATATCCAGTGCCAAATTAAATAAGTAATATGAAATAGGAGAAACATCTTATTGCAATTGCAAACCAGGCAGGCCTAGACACTCTAATCAATGGGACTCTAAGCTAAGGTTTACGAACATTTCAGGCTAAGAACTAGATAAATCCCCCTTTCTTGCTTGTTTCCAAAATGGTCACAAGAGCCAATGGCGTATAACAAAAGGCATGTCACATCAACTGCAAACCCACTGATATCCTACTGAAGTTGACTACAGGCATATTCGCATGTTAGCATATGACAGAAGAATGAAGCAGTGCAAAGATAAATGACTCCGGAGGGGAGGCTAGGGCCTCAAAGCATTTAACATCCAGACCTAATGAAATGGAGCAGAAGAAATAAAAGATTTAAATCGCAAAATGAACATGAATCTCACATAAAGATAACACGATGCAATCTAAAACCCTCCTCTACCAACCAAAGACAGGGTAATGTACCGTACAAAGTTTCAACAAGGCAAGAGTAACATAAATACTTGCAGGATGTGATCTTTACACTCATAAATGGTGAAGCAGGTAATGCTCAGACCAAAACAAGCATGACTCAGCTTGCCAGTGACCAGCAAGAACCACCATCTCACCAAACATGAGAAAAGAGAAGATCAGTACTATACATCAATAACAACTAACATAAGCCACATTTAACCCATTGAAAGTAAAGATATTGACTAGACCCTTCCATATTTCTTTTTCCTAGCCTGTACATTAAAAAGACAAAATCAATTAGCATGTTGTTTTAGAATATCTTGTTGCAATTGCATACCAGGTAGGAAAAAGAATAAGAGTTACAAAGTTTCAGAAGTTGAAAGCAATCCTATGAGTGCAATGAAAGACATAAAAATCGCATCAAATGCAACCCAAGTAATCTCATAATGAAGTTCAACTAATGACAGAGTCACATGTTAGCACAATACAAAAAGAGCCAGAGATTGAAAAATAAAGCCAGTCAAGGCCTCAGGGTTAGAGACATGTAACAAGTAACAACTAGTGCATTAGAGCTGAAAATCAAAAAGTGAAATAGCAAAAGGGAAATGAATTGCACAAGTGAAAAAAACAAAATCCGCACTACAATCCATTTCTAATTCCCAGACAGAGACTTCAGTAGCCTAAATTAGTGTTATTCTTGAAAAAAACACAGCATGATATTTTAAAAAACAAAGCCCGCCCAATGAAACACAGTGGAATCTCACAACTACAATTGACAAACAAGAACAAAAACTGGAGCAACAGCTCAAAGAAGAACCTGGGCTAAACACCAATCACAGCTATTGGAAACCATACTTGACTCATCCAAAAAAAAAACCTTGACTCTTACATGTTTCCCTTTTCCTTTATGGTGTGAATAAAAAGAAATCAACAAGCATTTTGTGTTCGAAAAACATAGAAACATTTCAGCTTCATCTTGAAATATAATCAACCACCAGCTGCTAGGCGGGGTGAGATTCGAGATGTCTCAAGTTTAATAGGTAAATAATAAACTTTCCCCTATAATCCATCCTAAACTAAATAATAAACAATAATATATCTATCAATCAAGCTAATATTATTTACATTATAAAATTCAAGAAAACAAGCAAATGACAGGAACAATGTATCAAGAACGTAGACTTTTTTATGTTAACATTTTTAGGGTTTCATAAACTAAAAGAGAAAAGAGGGCTCCCCAGAATTAGGCAGCTAAGTTAGGTCAATACACAATATGAAGAATCCCATCAGTTTGTTTAGGACAGAGTGTGATTTGATTAAAAAAAAGGAAGGCAAATAATCTTTTCTATGGCAAAAGGGTTCTTCTTTCGGTGAAATACAGAGTTTTGAGAGCGAGAGTACCTTGTGATGATGGTGAGAGATTCCTCTTCTCTCTACTAAACCCTGGCCTGGAATGGAGGCGATCTATTCTTTCCGAGCCGATTTTTTTCTTTTTCTTTTTAACGAAGTGCCACTGAGAAGTGACAAGGCTGTTTGACCCAAGCCTCAAGTTTGGGGTCAGAGCTTAGTATATGAGTATCGAATCATGAGCCCTAAGCCCAAAACATGGGTGGCTTGTCAACTGCTAATCCAGCAAAAACAATTTATTATCAAAATTAAATCATTTTAATAAAAAAATAATTTAGTTTGCCATGAAATCCAGCCTAATATAGCTTTCAAATCCGGAGGTACTAAATTAATTTACCAAACTAGATTTTATAACTATAACATAAATAGGAAAACATTATAGTAGATTTATGGTGGTGAAGACGCACATAACATCTTTATATAATTATAAAAGATTAGCTTAGAATCATGATTAAATAAAATCTAATTTGATTAGAGTAAAGCAACGTGATATAATATAATACAATTATAAAAAATAAAAATTATTCAATAACAAGTCAGTCCGAGTAAATTAAAATAATATTATTTTTATTTTTAAAAAATATTAAGTTTTAATTAAATAAACCAAATTATAAATTAAATCGTTCAAGTTAATTTTTTTTAACCTAAATCATGTTATATTTGAATCAAACAAATTAAATTAGGAGAAAGTTTAATAAATATGAAGTATTCTAGCGAAAAAGGAGAATGATTAAGAAAATAATCAAGTTCCAATTTTTAAACTTGTTCATTGTGTTTACTTTTGACTTCAGAAGGCACCTTCTTTACAGACAACTTGCGAAGGACAAATTTGCACACATCAATTATTTTTAAAACCACAAAACTAATCACTACAAACAGCCTCTTTCGCTATCAACTTTTTAAAATATTAACATTAAGTTTTATTAAGTACAACGCTCCTAATCATTTGATTAAGTCTCGTTCATTAATCCCAGTTAACTCATCCTTGAAATTAACTAACTCACATTATTCTAACTAGATCAAGGTCTCTAGTAAAATTAATTTATTTGTATTTTAAAAAAAATTATTAATTTTTTAAATTTTTTATCCTTTTATTTTAAATTAATACTTTTTTAGTATTTTTAGATTAATTTTTTAAAATAAAAAATATTATTTTAATATATTTTCAAATAAAAAATATTTTAAATTATATTTTCAAACAAGTTAATCCGGTAGAGTTAACTTACACTTATAACTATCATGAATAAATTGACTCAATTAAAATTTAATAAAAAATAAATTTATTTTAAAAAATCATTTCAACTTAAAAAATTAACCCATATCAATTTTAAATTAACATAAAACTGGTATTAAATTGCATCTAAACTTGTGATTTGAATTGAATTTAATTATTATGATTTTAATATAAAAATATTTAATTATAGTGTCATTTGAATTTTGTATAAATAAAATGAAATTAAGTGAAATATGCATTTAAATAAAAAAATAGAAAGTTTTAATTTAAGTAAATTCAAGTAAAAACGAGTTAGAAATCTAAGTTTCGACTCATATTAACTTAATTACCTAATAATTAAGGATTTGGATTAACTAACTAAAAAAACTGATTTTGTTTTCAAAATAAAATCATTAATTGTTTTTTTAAAATTAGTTTTATTTGAATTAACTCTTCTGTAAAACAACAAGGCTTGGAAGCAAGTCAACTCACGGGTAAAGACTTGTAACTGTGGTCAGAAACACTAAAAAATAAATAAAAAAAAAGAAAAAAAGAAAAGAAAAAGAGAACATTAGCCTTCCTAAAAGCACCTCTAATCATTAATCAAGCACAAGGAGAGAAAGCATTTCAGAAAAGCCCCACCATGTCCCTTGACTCCCAAGACTCAACTTCTCCTTCCTTCAACAGGGACTGGTTCTTCCCTTCACCTTCCTTCATCCACCAATCCACTCCTAAACCTCCTAAACCTCACCGCAGATTCTCCACTGCTTCCAAACATTCTCCAGATTCCAACATCTCCAATCCGCCCTCGTTTCGTTCATCACCCTCTCTCTCTCCCACCACCACTTCTAAATATGGAAGACTTCGCCGGCGGGTGGAGTTCCCTCGACCACCTGAAAAATATTCAATACAACACCAAAATGACTCCGTTTTGGACCGCAAACCTGTTGTTTCCAGTGAGAAGAAGCAGTCTACTGTGAAAGTTTCTTCTGGGTCATTGGGCCTTCGGGTCAGAGTCCGATGGAATTTGGCCATTACAGTAGCTGTGAGTATTTATGTAGTAATGTTTCCGACAACTTGATTGTGTGAAAGTAAAAGAAGAAGCTGTTTTTTGAAGTGGGTTTTGTTTTTGGGCTGTTGCAGATTGTGATTACAGCTTTGACTTCATTAGTGCACAAGAATTTTACTCTACATAACCAAGTAATTGTTTTGCAGGTGAGTTTTTCACTTAAAAGTTTTGATTTTTATTATCAAGATTGGTGATTTTAAATCTGTATGTAGTTTTATTGATCATTTAAAGTATTTAGTAGTTGACTTTGACCTTAATGCATGACTTTGTTGTTAGTTAACTGGGATTTTTTATTTTTCGGATTGCAGGATCAAATACTGAAACTAAATGTTAGATTACGAGCGTGTAATTTGTTATCCAATGTAGATACTTTTGATTCAGTTATGCAGGAGCTTGATGATATTGGTTATGGTAGTGATAACGGGTTAAAGAATTTGGCTTTGATTGTTTCAGTTACGCTCTTGTCTATTCCGGTTCTTGCTTTCAAGTACATTGATTTTGTATCGAAATCCAGATCATCGGATAATGTTTCGGAAGAGGCATTGTTGAATAAGCAGCTTGCATATCGGGTGGATATTTTTTTATCAGTTCATCCATATGCCAAGCCTTTGGCGTTGTTGGTTGCGACATTGCTGGTTATTTGCCTTGGTGGATTGGCGTTGTTTGGTGTGACAGATGATAATTTAGCGGATTGTCTTTGGTTGTCTTGGACGTTTGTAGCGGATTCAGGCAATCATGCTAATACCGAGGGGATTGGTCCAAGGCTTGTTTCTGTTTCTATTAGCTTTGGTGGGATGCTTATTTTTGCTATGATGCTTGGACTTGTGTCTGATGCTATTTCTGAGAAGTTTGATTCATTAAGGAAAGGAAGAAGCGAGGTGGTTGAGCAAAACCATACTCTAATTCTTGGCTGGAGCGATAAACTAGTAAGATTCTGATTACACAGCTTGTCAGTGTGATGAAGCTTTTTTTTTTAGCATACGTGTGCTCGCACTATTACACGACTTAGTTGTGAATAGTACAGGCAGGTCATTTCAAAGAGAACCTTAATATAATCTGGGAACAATAATCTCCATCCTAATTTAAAAATCTCTGAAGAAATTCCTAAAAGGGCGTGGATAACGAAACAAATATATTTAGGTACTTGAAGAATCTTTATGCAATATTATTTTCCTCATTCACCAAGTAATTTGTTCTGAAACTAGGGATCACTGCTGAATCAACTTGGAATAGCCAATGAGAGTTTGGGTGGAGGAATTGTAGTAGTGATGGCTGAACGAGATAAAGAAGAGATGGAAATGGATATTGCTAAAATGGAGTTCGACTTCAAAGGAACATCTGTCATATGCAGAAGTGGGAGCCCCCTAATTCTGGCTGACCTAAAAAAGGTATGCATAGTTTCTGTGATATTGCTTATAAGTTGTAACACAGAGATGTCTTCTCTGCTGAAAAGCTGTGGTAGCAGGATGGATTCAGTCTTCTTCAGCTGTACAATGAATTAGTGATTTATTAAATGGCCTGGTTAGATATCCTCTCGAAAATTTATGTTTGTTTAGTTTAGTTTAGTTTCCGGCCACTTTCACTCCCCTTTGTTTGTTAGGGTTCATTCCTATTTTTGCTAAAGCATGGCAGTTCCCAAGAAAGAATTCTATGGTTAAAATTTTGCTTTAAGCATTTGATTGTACAATGTTACTTCATATTCTTGAAGATTGCACATAGCATTTCTTGTCATGATTTCTGCTATGAATATTATTTCTCTGTACATTCTTTGATCCACCTTCTACTTCCTTTCTCTTTCTTTTTGTGTTGGGGTTGGGTTAGTTGGGGGAGGGGTGGTGTTTCTAATGGCTATTGTTTTCCCAAGTACACTGGCTTGCTATAATCTTCTTTCCCACAATCATTCTATGGCGCAACTTGCCTGTGTTTAGGCTTCTGTGAAGTTGTTGCAGCTAGCAGTTTTAATGATGTTGGTATCTACCTTGTCATGAGTGGTGAAACCATTATTTTATGTGTTGCTTTTCTTGATATGGTAATGCCTGAGTTTCAGGTATCTGTTTCCAAGGCCCGTGCAATAGTTGTGCTTGCTGAAGATGGAAATGCTGACCAGGTCAGCTACTTGAGTGCATAAGTAATGTTCTTCATGTATGGTATTGACAAGCATTGATAGCCATTGATGTTTATGGTTGTATACAGAGTGATGCTCGTGCATTGAGAACCGTCTTAAGTCTTACAGGAGTGAAAGAAGGTCTAAAAGGGCACATTGTGGTGGAGCTAAGTGATCTTGACAATGAGGTTCTTGTGAAACTTGTTGGTGGAGATCTTGTCAAAACTGTTGTAGCTCATGATGTTATTGGCCGCTTGATGATTCAATGTGCTCGGCAGCCAGGACTTGCACAGGTTAATTCTGCACTCTTAAAACTCGTCACGTTCTGTTAACATCATTGTAAGCATTATTGCCTGGCTAATTTATTTCACACTGATTTTTTACCGCTGTCTATTATTCTGCTGTAAACTCTTTCCTGCTTGTTTGTGTATGTGATCAATTACGGATTGATTATGACAGATATGGGAAGACATACTTGGGTTTGAAAATTGTGAGTTTTACATCAAAAGATGGCCGCAGTTGATCGGCATGCAATTCGAGGACATACTAATCAGTTTTCCCGACGCTATACCTTGTGGGATCAAGGTTGCTTCTTGTGATGGTAAAATTATCTTAAATCCTGAAGACTCGTACGTTCTTCAAGAAGATGATGAAATCCTTGTCATTGCGGAAGATGATGATAGCTATGCTCCAGCAACATTACCTACGGTGCTTTCATTTTCCTTCATAAATAAAGTTTTCTTATAGATTTTATGCTTCTTTCTTTTCCCTAGCTTGTGTCTTTGTTCTGTCATCCTAGGTTGTATGTGCATGATAAGAGATGGGACCTACACCTGACTCAGTGCAAAAGAAAGTTGTCTTCTCTTACCAGATCCAGGATGCTCATTTATTGGAGATAAATTACAAAATGAAGATGAAAAGGCCTTGATAAAGGCAGCAAATATCTGTATACAAAAGAAAACAAGGTCCTAGCTATAGACACCAATGCATACCCATAGATAAATAGTTTCACTTTAGTTAGTTTTAGCGAAGTATGTTATTGCACAGATATGCATGAAGTCTTTGGTGCTGTACATGATGCTGTGTGGTTGGTGAAAACTATCACATTGGACCTGATGTGTCTACCATAGACCGTTTATGGATGGTTCTTTTCTCTGATTACTAAATTGTGTAATTTAGTAAAGGATATAGCTTTTGATATAATGTAAGACTATAAAAAAAATAAATAAAAAAAATACATGATGTAAAGGGGCTGATAAAACTGATAGGGGGGAAAATGAATGTGAAAATAGCAGATCATGCTTGGATTGGTTAAGGACAAGTTCAGTTGTGAACATTAGAATGATGCCTTCAGTGGAAATTAGGTAAGTGGACGCACCATAAAAGAAGAACTTACATAATATAATAAATTTCATCATTCAGGTCAAAGAGGCATCATTCATGCACATTGCCCGACCTGCAAGAATGCCACAGAAGATTCTACTTTGTGGATGGAGGAGGGACATTGATGATATGATTGTGGTAAGCTCTTTTGTGAAGCCCCTAATCTTTTCTTTTCTTCGCCTGGATGCTGCAGGTATGGAGAGGAAGTCTACCCAAAGACTTTATTGGTCCAAAGTCTGCAGAAAAGATATTATTCTGTGGTTGGAGACGTGACATGGAAGATATGATTATGGTAATGTTATAAGGATTATGAAATCATAACTTCTCCGTTGCGGCAAAGTGGTGGTAGACATTTCAGAATTCTTCTGTGTTATTATTGCAGGATTTTCAGTTGTAGTTGCAACAAGTGTGTCTATTGAAACCATTCTTTGCAGTTTCTACATATACTTTTTTTTGGGCAACAATGAGCTCTCTTTTTGTCTCATTTAGACTATTTCATTTCTATAACAAAAGTAATTATCAGTTACTCATCTCTTCATGTTTAGGTGTTGGATGCATTTCTAGCACCCGGTTCAGAGCTCTGGATGTTCAATGATGTTCCTGAAAATGAGAGGGAAAAGAAGCTCATTGATGGTGGTCTAGACTTAAGTAGATTGGAAAATATACAACTTGTCAATCGAGAGGGAAATGCGGTCATAAGACGTCATTTAGAAAGCCTTCCTTTGCAATCTTTTGATTCAGTAAGTGAATAATACTATAATAGTATTGGGTTTTGAATCAAACTATATGCCATTTGAGATTTTATTTTTTGAATGTAATTATCCTTATTCTTAGTTAAAAAGATTTTGATGCAGTATTTGGTGTGTCTAGATTTTAATTTTGGCTGATGAGTCAGTGGAAGATTCAGCCATTCAAGCCGACTCCCGATCTCTTGCCACATTATTATTGATTCGTGATATTCAGGTACTTGATCTAACTAAAGTTCTGGTGGATAGGCTATTACTCATTCATACAACATAAGTTCTATTGATTAACCAGTATAAATTTCACGACTTAAAAAGACATTTCACACGGACAACTGAAAACTTCATTTATTATCCATGACAGTTGGCTTCTGCCACGCAGCTACTGCAATGTTAGGATAAGTGTAGTTTGAATAGACAGTCTGTTTGGGTTTTGAAAAACAAGCCAGAACAAATGAGAACACATTTTTTGTCTTTTTTATTGGGGGTTTTGGAGGAGAGGGGGGGGGGGGGGTTGAGAGATTCTTTTACATTTACTTTGACTCGAGATGGGCTCTTCACCTTTCAGCCTTTTGCAACGTTTCACGCCATTCTCCAAGATGCCCTGTAATCTTAGGTTTGGAATAGCCTGTTGCCTTCTTTTCTGAAGAGTACTTGGCCAACTCCTCTTCAAATTTAAGGAAAAGCCAAAAATTGTTTATTTTCTCCTGAACCCAAGAAGATAATTGTACAGGATCCAGGTGTTAATGGTGCAATTTAGTGCTCTTCGATCCTTTGTATTCATGTGTTCCTATTCTCATGATCCATGCAGTCGAAGCGTCTCCCAATGGTGAACCAGGTTCGCAGAGGAACCTTCTCTCAAGGTTCGTGGATTGGGGAGATGCAGCAGGCTTCAGATAAATCTGTAATAATAAGTGAAATTCTGGACCCAAGAACTAAAAATTTATTATCCATGTCGAAGATCAGTGATTATGTTTTATCAAATGAACTTGTCAGCATGGCATTGGCCATGGTTGCAGAAGATCAACAAATAAATGATGTATTAGAAGAGCTCTTTGCAGATGAGGTATTCTTTTGTCTCACATCTGTTAAATTCTGAGATCTTACTGCACTCTATGGAAAACCAAATTTTGAAGGGCGAAGTAGGCTTACAAAATTGCAATAGAAAATTCCAACAAGTGCATGCAATGTTTTCTTTTCTCATAGTTTGCCTGTCAGTACCTTATCTATATGTTTTCTTTTCGCATAGCGCACGCTATGTTAAATCCTCTCTCTCACACACAAAAAGCCATCTACATCATGTATACTAGAGAGCCCATGAAACTTTCCTAGCCAAACTAAAGGATGAAATCTTAAACACATCAGATGATTATTAACTTCGTTCCCTAGTGCATTTAGTTGGTCACTCCTTTAAATCATATATTATAATGACTTTGATGCCCTGCTTCTTATATTGAGAAAGTAGCATAGCGTGAGCCCTGCATCCAAATAATCATTTTGTTATTATGGTTGTGATAAATTAAGCTAGTTAATATGTTGGACCACAACAGCGAAGGGTTTGCTAGCATGTTCTCTCTTTAGTGCTTAGAACAACCCTCTAGCATTGATCAGAGTGATTCCTTTGTTGTGTTAGTGAAATAGTTGCTATTGATGATGTTGGAATTTAAGATCCTTTCATCAGTTGAACTCATCATTCACAAACATTTTGCCTTCATCAGGGAAATGAGCTTCAAATAAGGCAAGCAGATCTTTACCTCAGTGAAGGCGAGGAATTGAGTTTCTATGAAGTGCTATTACGAGCACGACAGAGAAGAGAGATAGTCATTGGTTACCGTGCAGCTAATGCTGAAAAGGCTGTTATCAATCCGCCTGCCAAAAGTGAGAGACGTAGGTGGTCACTGAAAGATGTATTCGTGGTAATTGCAGAGAAGGAATGAGGATGCAGTTCTTCTTCATCCCCTGAACATGATATTCTTTGAAAAAAATTCGATGGACACCGAAGAAACCAACAATAGGAAGTGTTCATTAGTTTCTGCCAGTCTGAAAAAAGAAAGAAAGAAATACTACAGATGTACAGTCACATCTAGTATATTTCTTGTACAAAAACTCAACCTCAAAGTGGAATTTTCTCGCTACCTAAATATGAAAGAGCTGTAACGTTTCCCAGGACGTGTTTGGAGCACTAAATTGATAAGAAGGCTCTACTGGGCGTGAAACATTTGTGATTTGCAAGAATGATGACTGATAGCACAAGGAATGAATAGCTTCAAGGTGGCTTCTTGCTTCGCCGAAGCATGTTATAGCATGATAATTGAAGCTAGATGGTTGGAAGTATATTCTTCATCGTTCAGGACAATCTCCGTCCTTCGGAATACTAAAAAGAAAAAAACCCTCTTCTATAATCTCAACGTGAACGCAGAACCAGCCGACGCTTTGTGGTAAAATCTTGATATCTGCCTGTCGCGAGGTTTCCATTCAGGGATGGATTGGGGAATTATTCAATCCTAAGTAGAGACTTGTTTTGACATTACAAAAACAATGTGTCAAACAAGTTGAAAGTAATTATATGAAGATGAAATTGAAATGAAAAAACATTGGGTTCGAAAACGAACAATTGCAAAAGGGACAATTTTTTTTTGAAAAAAAAAGAGGGATCAATTAGGCGCAATGTGGTAAAAAGGGCACAGTTTTGACAAGAAAGAAGCACAAATGCCCATATCCGCAAACCATCCAATCCTCCTTATCCGTATAAAAACCCATATCCACGAACACTGCCTCCCTCGCTTTGCAATTCACTCTCCCATTCCTTACTTGAAGAAGATCAGCCCAAGAAAAGGGCGGTGAAGATTCGTTTAGCAAGACTGTGATGCAAAAACAGGGCATTTTACAGAATTGTTGCTGCTGATAGCAATACTCCAAGAGATGGCAAACACCATCAAGTTGTTGGTTTCTATGACCCCTTTGCAGGTTCCCTCTTCTTCTTACCCTTCTCTTATTATTTTCATATGCTCAGTTCACATGAAGATTTTTTTTTTTCTAATTTTAAAGACCTGGACTTTGAAGGCTTATTGGGTTTATTTTCAGGTTCTCAAATAATCATTGCATGGTATGTGTAGGTAACTTTGTCAGCTTTCACTGGATCATCCAGATTTCAGGTTGACCGGGCCAATTGCTGGTCTGGTTTTTGACAGATACTGATCCGGCCAAGGCTCCACATCACCAAATAAATCAAAGAAAAAAGAAAAAAAATAACAAAGCATTTGATTGTTGCTTGTCTATTATTGGGAATTTCCAGGAAGTCAACGATGTGCACCCTCTGTACATGAGAAAATATTTGGATTTGAAACCCCCATTATTACAATTATACATGTGCCTAAGCTACTGATTCAAAATCAGCATCTTTTTTCCTTGAGTTACTTCCGTTCTCTCCCTACAGACTTACCCTGCCACCAGAGTCTCACTCTTGTTTCTTTGACTGTTTCTTCACAAAACAATGGCGATGTTTTTCTTGTTTCTCTCTATCTTTTTGTTTGTTTATATCTGGAGATTCATCATACGAAGCCGTCATGTTTCTCCATCCCCATCTACTCCTTCCACTTTAACCACCGCCCAGCCACAAGTAATTAAATATGATGTCTTCCTTAGTTTCAGAGGAGTAGACACTCGTTCTGATTTTACCAGTCACCTCTATGCTGCTTTAAACCGGAAACAAATCCTAACTTTCATAGATTATCAGCTTGTGAGAGGAGATGAGATTTCGGCATCACTTCTGAGAACAATTGAAGAGGCCAAGCTTTCTGTGATTGTTTTTTCTGAAAACTATGCATCTTCCAAATGGTGCTTGGAGGAGCTTGCAAAGATTTTTGAACGTAGAAAAAATAATGGACAGATAGTTATTCCAGTATTCTACCAGGTGGATCCATCCCATGTAAGAAATCAAACAGGGAGGTTTGGGGATGCATTTGCTAGACTTATAAAGAAGAAAGCTTTGACGATGGACAAAGAGCAGAGCTTCAGAGACGCTTTGACGGATGCAGCCAATCTATCTGGATGGAGCTTAGGGAAGTCTGAGTAAGCTCTTGAAATATATCCCATAAGAAAATATTCGTTCATTTCTTGAGGATTTGAAATTTAATTTAAAATTATTGTGAGTGATGAGCTCTTTGAATCTATATTTATTTTATTTGATTTTGAAAACGTTAAAGCAAAACACTTGTACAGATCTTAAGCTTTAGGAGGTAGAAAGCAGATACTTAGGAATCCTTATATTAAATTTTATCAGGACAATCAATGTTTTCTTGAAATTGGGGCATTAATAGTCTATTTATTTGAGGTGAAAAAGGATTATGGTATGTTGGAAAATAATATAAATCATATCTTGAGATCTTCTTGACTTTTTTTTGTTGAGATGATTCTATATACGATGATATGAGAAAACATCTTATGCATTTGTATTTCATTGATTTTCCTAGATAAACACCGATTACAAGTAGTTTTTCAAGGATTGATTAGCTGTAGCATAAGATAAGTAGGGAGCTGCTGCATATTTCTGAACTCAAATTCATTCTCTCAAGAGGCCCAGTAAGAGAATCTTGTCCAGTTTATGAATACATGCTCACCTTATAAAAGAGCAGAATATAGATGGAGGCTCTTCCTTTCTTTCCCACCATATAATTCAGATCCTATACGTGCCTACTATGTATAGATGTAGCTACTAAGGAGTGAGTATGTTTATATGTTTGTTGTTTCTTCTAGTCTGGTCCATTCTGACTAACAAATATGTGTGTGCTCTTCTTGTTTGTTAGGCTGGAGTCTGAATTTATTGAGAAGATCGTTGGAGATGTTTTGAACAAATTGCATGCCATGTCTTCAAGTCACACTACGGGTTTATTTGGAATTGATGCTCGCATTCACAAAGTTGAGTCTTTGTTAAATATGGAATCTCAAGATGTTCTCATTGTAGGGATATGGGGAATGGGTGGTATAGGTAAGACAACGATTGCTGAAGCTGTGTGCAACAAGGTTCGTTCTCGATTTGAAGGAATCTTTGTTGCAAACTTTAGGCAAGAATTAAAAGCACGTCCCATGGCTGATTTGCAAAGAAGCTTTCTTTCACAGCTGCTTGGCCAAGAAATTCTGAAAATGGGCTCCTTGAGTTTTCGAGATTCTTTTGTGAGGGATAGACTTCGTCGTAAAATGGTTTTTATTGTTCTTGATGATGTGGATGATTTAATGGCTTTGGAAGAATGGAAAGAATTGCTTCATGGACGACACAGTTCATTTGGTCGAGGCAGTAAAGTTCTCATAACAAGTAGGGACAGGCAAGTGCTTAGTAATATAGTAGATGAAACATACAAGGTTGAGCGGTTGAACTATGAAGAAGCTCTTCAACTCTTTAGCTCAAAAGCCTTGAAGAATTGCATCCCCACAATTGATCATAGAGACTTGATAAAAAGGATTGCGAGTCATGTACAAGGCAATCCGTTGGCTCTTATAGTTTTGGGTTCCTCTCTCTATGGTAAAAGCCCAGAAGAATGGTACAGTGCATTGAATAAACTAGCTCAGAACCCTCGAATCGAAAATGCATTGAGAATTAGTTACAATGGGTTGGATCAAGAACAACAATCAATATTTCTTGATATAGCACATTTCTTCAGAAAATTTGAGCAAAACCAAGCTACAAGAATATTAGATGGCTTTTATGGCCGGCCTGTGATTTTTGATATAAGCATGCTCATTAATAAGGGTCTCATAACTACTTCTCGTAACATGCTAGAAATACATGATTTACTACAAGAAATGGCATTTAACATTGTTCGTGCAGAATCTAAGTTTCCTGGCAAACGCAGCAGGTTGTGTCATCTTACTGACATCGTTCATGTATTGGAGGAAAATAAGGTTAAAGCTGAAGTCATTAGATATCTTTCTTTTCTCTACTCTGACATACCAACCGAGAGGTTTCATATTTTCTCAAAAGTTGATTTTTTGAGTACATTGTATGGTTGTCTGTTTATTCTTTATTCTTGTTTAACAGGGAGCTGAAGAAATTGAAGGCATATCTTTGGACATGTCCAGGTTATCGAGACAGATACAATTGAAATCTGATGCCTTCGCAATGATGGATGGTCTTAGATTTATCAAATTCTTTTTTGGTCATTTGTCCCAAGATAACAAAGATAAAATGCAACTTCCTCCTACTGGCCTTGAATATCTTTCTAATAAGCTGAGATATTTGCACTGGGATGGATTCCCTTCAAAATCCTTGCCGCATGTTTTTTGTGCTGAACATCTTGTCGAGCTTAACTTAAGCAGGAGCAAGGTTGAAAAACTTTGGACCGGAGTACAGGTATGATTTAATTGCTGCAGATTTATGATCAGAAATATGTAGTTGGAGGTGCTAACTTTCTAGTTATGCCTTTTCCTGTTGACAGGATGTTGGAAATTTACGAAAATTTGTACTATCTTACTCTCCATATTTGATGGAATTGCCAGATCTATCAAAGGCCAGAAATTTGGTGTCCTTACACCTTGTAGACTGTCCAAGTTTAACCGAGGTTCCGTTATCTCTTCAATATCTTGACAAGCTGGAAGAACTTGATCTCAATTTTTGCTATAATCTTAGAAGTTTTCCAATGCTTGATTCAAAGGTTCTCAAAGTACTTTCCATAAGTCGGTGCCTAGATGTGACCAAGTGTCCAACGATTTCACAAAATATGAAAAGCTTATATTTAGAGGAAACTTCAATCAAAGAAGTTCCACAATCAATTACTAGCAAGTTGGAAAATCTTGGTCTGCATGGTTGCTCAAAGATCACCAAGTTTCCAGAGATTTCAGGGGATGTAAAAACATTGTATCTAAGTGGAACTGCTATTAAAGAGGTGCCCTCATCAATCCAGTTTCTCACAAGACTCCGCGTATTGGATATGAGTGGTTGCTCAAAACTTGAGAGCTTCCCAGAAATCACAGTGCCTATGAAATCATTGGTGGATCTTAACTTGAGTAAAACAGGCATTAAAGAGATACCCTCATCACTTAAGCATATGATATCTTTAAGAAGTCTAGGGTTAGATGGAACACCTATTGAAGAGCTACCCTTATCAATCAAAGATATGGTATGTTTGAGATATCTGGCTTTGCATGGAACACATATTAAAGCTTTACCTGAGCTTCCACCTTCGCTGAGGTCTCTAACAACACATGACTGTGCATCACTAGAAACCATGATATTAAAAATCAATATCGGCAGATTATGGGATGGATTGAATTTTGCAAATTGCTTCAAATTGGATCAGAAACCACTGATAGCAGCAATGCATTTGAAAATTCAGGTATCTCTCTTAACCCCATCTCTCTTTCTTCTCTTTTTCTTTCTTGCTTCATCACATTTTCGAAATGTGACTTTTTTGTTACAGTCCGGAGATAAGATTCCATATAACAGAATTCAAATGGTTCTACCGGGGAGTGAAATTCCAGAATGGTTCAGTGACAAAGGAATTGGATCTTCACTCAGCATACAGTTGCCCTCAAATTGTCATCAGCTCAAGGGAATTGCTTTCTGCCTTGTCTTTCTACTCCCTCTTCCCTCCCATGAGATGCTTTATGAATTCGATGATCATCCTGAAGTTCGCTTATATTTTGATTGCCATGTTAAGAGTAAAAAGGGTGAGCATGATGGTGATGATGAAGAAGTCTTCGTTTCCAAGAAAAGCTATAGAATATTCAATTTCTTGAAGACATGTGACTCAGATCACATGTTTCTACACTATGAGCTTGAATTAGTAAATCATATCCGTAAATATTCTGGCAATGAGGTTACATTTAAATTCTACCATGAAGTGGACAACTGGAGTACGAAAGTAGGTCATGAGATTCGAAAGCCTTGCGAGTTGAAAAGCTGTGGTGTATATCTGCACTTTGATGAAAATCTACAGGCCGGCACTTTGTTAAGGATCTTCCTTAACAAACAAAAGTTTAGAAGAAAATTGAGGGAGAAATAGAAGAAATTGAAAGGGGGAGAGAGAGAGAGTTCTGCAATTACTGCAAATTGTTCTTCAAGTAGTTTTCAAGATTCCTGTACTAGCTGCTTCTTCTGGTACTACTAACTTGCTGCGGTTGCAATCCTTCTCTATAACTAACTTTGACCTTAAACTGCAATTTGTAACACATTTATGATGAGGATTTGAAGCAAGTAGTTTTGAGAAGGATTCAGTTTACTATACGAATTATGAATGATTAACTTTGTGGGGTAATGCATTTGTAATTTTATTTTCTTATGTATATGTAGTTTAATATGACCACTGGTAGCACTGATTGTTCATAGTTTATTCTGTCAGCAGTTAAAGTCTCAAAAATATGTTTTTAAAGCACAAAGGTCATCAAGTATAGGGAAAAATAATTTTTAGTTTGAAATTTTTGGGTTTAGGCTAACATTATCGATAGGACTAATACTATTGCCTACGTATCATCAAGTGAAATAACTGTATTTAGTCTGTATTCCGGTAACCAAAGCTTCACTCCTTCCTTTTGATTATGTTGTAATGCTGACTGAATCCAATCCATAAACCCGGAAACGAAACAAAGTTCGTTCCCTTTCGTCACTGAAGCACTAATCATGCTTAATTTTTAGCTTTGCTGTTTGGGGAAGATATATATGTTGATTAGTTAGCTTAGCTTTTGCAGTCGCTTGATGTATTACTATAAGTCAATTATGAATGCTGTATTACCTTGTGAAGCAAGTTTTTTTATTTTTCTTATCACGTTCAATTTATGCTGTATTACTTCTATAAGTTATATGCTTTCACTCCTTGTTTTTGTTGTGTTTGTGTTTCTGGTTTTTGGAGTAATAAAAAATTATCCAAGTATTTAAGTTTAACTTGGAGATTGCCGTTTAAGGTGTCGTGGGTAATGCTAGAGGTTTAGCAAGATAAACATGTTTAGCTTTTGATTCTTAATTGCTAAACATCTATTTTAGGCAGGAGATAACTTCACAATGAGAGAGTTATCTGTTCACTTTTGCCAACTTTGAATTAAAGGAGGAGAAAACTGATGGATCAATCTTTAGTTTGCACGAAGCTCTTGTATGGCTGCTTCTATTTGCCTGTTTGATTAAATGGGTTGGCACAATGTCTTTCATCTTGTTTAGTTGATTTTGGTTTTCTACTTGCTTCCGCAGGTATTGGTTATCTGTCGGTGCTCAGCCTACAGACACGGTGCGTGGCATTCTTATGAGAGCTGGTTTAATATCGCCACCGCCGATGGTTGTTATGGGGCAGAAAAAGGGACCAGCTGGTGAGACCTCGAATCCAGAGAAGTCAATTACCCTGTAAAAGTTACCATTTCTGTTGCTTTTATGTTTCTTCTGTTTTGTACCTGTATGCTTGGTCCAGCACTGAATGGGTGGAGAGGTAAATTTCCTTTCCAGGTTGTTGAATGAATTCAAGTTTAAATTCTCTTAATTCATGCTTGTGTTCATTGTATTTGTTCTTTATGCTTATGTCCAACCACCTGTTAAGACAAGGCTATGAGATGATCATCCTGTTGTACAGCTTAATATTGCTCAGTCTAGCATGATAGGCTGCGCATCCTCTTAAATTCACATCTTTTTCCTATTCTGAGCTCACTTTCCTGTAATGCAGATTAACTGTTAAAAGGGCTTCATAGATTTCAAACGCGTGAGAATCTGGAACATCTGCGTCATGATGTTCCTGTCCTTGTACTTGAGAAAATATTCATTGCTGATTGTTGTGTCATTAGCAATTAGATGATTGCAGTATTAATTCTTCAACTTTACACCTTTTCTTAATCAAGCATATGAACTTTGTTGTTTTCTTTTTGGGTCAATTTTCCTGTTATTTAATGATGCCTTATTTTCCTTTAAATCAATATGGGTACTTTAACTTTTATTTTATGTCAATCAAATGAATACACTATAATCTTATTTATTTATTTATTTAGATATACCTTCTTCTTTTTTACTATTCCAATCAAGAAATTTAATGAATTTTTCATTTTCAAATATGGTTTTTTTATTATTAAAAGTACCCTAAAAAATAAGATTATTTTTTATAGATGAAAATATTTTAAATTAAAATATATGCATGTAAAAAAACTAAAATAAGTTATTTTAAGAAAAACTAGTTTAGTTCATGTTCAGTAATCTATATAAAGACTGAAAAAGATTTTATAATTAATTTAAACCAATAAATAAATTATTAATATAATTAAAATATTTATTATTTTAATGAGATTAATGAATATTGTATGATTACAATATAAATAGAAAAAGATTGAAATAGTGAAAAAAGACCACATTAAAAATATTATGAACTTAGTTAATTAAAAAAGTTACTTGATTAAAATGATAAAAAAATTGTTAACCAACATTGCTATAAATTGCAAGCATCTTATTTAGTATCCAACTAGATAAATTACTTGTGCTAACTAGATAGATGACTTCTGCTAACTAGTGAGCCGAATTAAAATCAAATTATTTTTAAAATTAAAAAACTCAAACAATATTAGTATTAAAATAAAAAATAAAACAATTTGGGACTTGAGTTATAGATTTGAATGCTTTCAATAATATCAATTAATTTAATAATATAAATAAAAACCAACAATAAAAAAAAGTCACTAAAAACTAATATAAAAAAAGAATATATGCTAATATTATAAAAATATGCCCTTTATATATTCTTAAAAAGTATCAATGATTTTATTTGATAACAAAATAAAAATTAAAAGAGAACGAGATAACCTCATTAAATAAAATAAAAGTTCAATTACTAGAAAATTAAATGTTGAAGTACAAACTAAAAAAAATTAATTTAAAAAAATAAAAAATCATAACTCAAGTCAGTATGTCAAATTTATGACTTAATTATGAAACAAAGATAATTTCATATAAAATAAATAAAATAAAATAATAAAAACCAACTCTTAAACAAACTAAATGATGAAAAGCAAAACTAAAAAAAATAAATCAAATCAATCCAAATTAACTCAATTAACTCGTGATTTGATATATAAAATTGGAATAAACTAAAAAAAAAAAGCAAAACAAATCATGAATTTTAAGGCATCATTATAACTAAATTACCCTTAATTTATATTGATTATAATTAAAAAGCCAGGTGAAGATACAACCAAAAAAAAACTCTCAACATTAACATTAATTTTAATTTTTTTACTTTTAAAAACAATATAGTAATTTCACTATACTATCAAAACATTAAAAGATAGAAATATCTATAAATTCTAGTTTAATTTATTTTTTACTTTTGAGGATATTTAAATTATTATATTTTATTTCTAAAATTTTTAAAGACTGATTTGTTTTTATTTAATATGACAATGATAATAGATCACATGAAAAGGCTGTATTGTTTTTAATGACTAATTAAATAATTTTATTTTAGAGGTGTAAAATAATTACTTTATTATTTTAATCCAAATTATGTGTCTTTAATGTACAATAAATGATTAAGCTGTTAGTTTTTTTATTAATTTTAATTTTGATTAAAAGACATAGAAAGTTGTCTAAACCCTTTTTACAGACAAAGCAATGATTTCAGTATTTTTCATGGGTCTGCATAAGAGTCCAATTGTTTCTAGCCAATCTAAGTAGCAGTCTATCTCATAGTTGTGGAATCCAATTCAGGGGTATATTTGACTAAAAATAATGTCTCAAGTTATATAAATTAATTTAAGTTAATTAAAAAATTAAAAAAATTAATTAGGATTTTAATATTGTATATAAATTTTTTTTAAAAACAATTTATATGATTAAAAAATATATGTTATAAATAATAAATTCTAAAAATTATTTTAAAATATGTTTTTGCTCTTAAAAGTCTCAGGAAACGCCTATACTCTCTCAACCTTCACTTTTGTTCTTGCTCCTCCTAATTGATTTGATGTTTTTCACGTTGTTATACAATTGGGATCGTTTAACCAATATTTTTCACTTGTTGAAAATTAGGGTGTGGTGGATTTGATGTTTTATTTTTTGGTTCATAAAAGAAGTTTTTGATGGGTTTTACAGTCCAGATTTTAACCAAACCCGGCTAAGACTGGTTTATTGGGGTCGAAGACTTGATTGTTGCGTGTCTTTATTAGGTCGAAGGCTTGATGCCCTTTCCTACCATATCACATATAAACAATGAACAAGACCAGAAATTTCCAGGAAGTCAACGTCTTTTACCCTGCCACCGGAGTCTTACTCTTGTTTCTTCGACTGTTTCTCCACAAAACAACGGCGGTGTTTTTGTTGTTTCTCTCTATCTTTTTGTTTGTTTATATCTGGAGATTCATCATACGAAACCGTCATATATCTCCATCACCATCTACTCCTTCCACCTTAACCACCGCGCAGCCACAAGGAATGAAATATGATGTCTTCCTTAGTTTCAGGGGAGAAGACACTCGTTTTGATTTTACCAGCCACCTCTATGCCGCTTTGAACCGGAAACAAATCCTAACTTTCATAGATTATCAGCTTGTGAGAGGAGATGAGATCTCGGCATCACTTCTGAGAACAATTGAAGAGGCCAAGCTTTCTGTGATTGTTTTTTCTGAAAACTATGCATCTTCCAAATGGTGCTTGGAGGAGCTTGCAAAGATTTTTGAGTGTAGAAAAAATAATGGACAGATAGTTATTCCGGTATTCTACCAGGTGGATCCATTCCATGTAAGAAATCAAACAGGGAGGTTTGGGGATGCGTTTGCTAGACTTATAAAGAAGAAAGCTTTGACGATGGACAAAGTGCAAAGCTTCAGAGACGCTTTGACGGATGCAGCCAATCTATCTGGATGTACCTTATTAGGGAATTCTGAGTAAGCTCTTGAAATATATCCCATGAGAAAATATTCGTTCTTTTGTTGAGTATTTGAAATTTAATTTAAAATTATTGAAAATGATGAGATCTTTGAATCCGTATTTATTTTATTTGATTTTGAAAACATTCTAGCGAAACACTTGTACATATCTTAAGTTTTAGGAGACAGAAAGGAGATACTTAGGAATCCTTATGTTAAATTTTATTAGGACAATCAATGTTTTCTTCGATTGTTTCACTTGAAATCGGGTCATTAATAGTCTATTTATTTGAGGTGAAAAAGATCATGATGCATTAAAAAATAATATTAATTATATATTTTGAGGTTTTTTCCTAACAACTTAAACTTTTTTAATTGAAATGATTATATGATATGATGATTTGAGAAAACATATGCATTTGCATTTCATTGATTTTCTTAGATATACAGTAGTTTCCAATTTCAAGGATTGATTAACTGTAGCTTGAGATAAGTAGGGAGCTGCTGCATATTTCTGAACTCAAATGCATTCTCTGGAGAGGCCAAGTAAGAGAATCTCGTCCAGGTTTATGATTCATGTGTTACATTATCACTATCCATTGCCAATAATGATACTCAATTACTCGTACCTGTCTACTATGTATAGATGTAGCTACTAAGGAGTGAGTATGTTTATATGTTTCTTCTTGTCCGGTCCATTTTGACTAACAATTAGGTGTGTTCTTCTTGTTTGTCAGGCTGGAATCTGAATTTATTGAGAAAATCGTTGGAGATGTTTCGAACAAATTGCAAGCCATGTCTTCAAGTCACACTACGGCTCTATTTGGAATTGATGTTCGTGTTAACAAAGTTGAGTCCTTGTTAAATATGGAATCTCCAGATGTTCTCATTGTCGGGATACGGGGAATGGGTGGTATCGGTAAGACAACGATTGCTCAAGCTATGTGCAACAAGGTTCGTTCTCGATTTGAAGGAATCTTTTTTGCAAACTTTAGGCAAGAATTAGAAACAGATTCCATGGCTGATTTGCAAAGAAGATTTCTTTCACAGCTGCTTGGCCAAGAAATCATGAACATGGGCTTCTTGAGTTTTCGAGATTCTTTTGTGAGGGAGAGACTTCGTCGTAAAAAGGTTTTTATTGTTCTTGATGATGTGGATGATTCAATGCCTTTGGAAGGATGGACAAATTTGCTTGATGGACGACACAGTTCATTTGGTCGAGGCAGTAAAGTTATCATAACAAGTAGGGACAAGCAGGTGCTTAAGAATGTAGTAGACAAAACATACGAGGTTGAGGGGTTGAACCATGAAGAATCTCTTAAACTCTTTAGCTCAAAAGCCTTGAAGAATTGCAACCCCACAATTGATCATAGAGAATTGATAGAAAAGATTGTAAGTCATGTACAAGGCAATCCGTTGGCTCTTATAGATTTGGGTTCCTCTCTCTATGGTAAAAGCACTGTAGAATGGCGCAGTGCATTGAATAAACTAGCTCAAAACCCTCGAATCGAAAAGGTGTAAAGAATTAGTTACAATGGGTTGGATCAAGAATAACAATCCATATTTCTTGATATAGCACTTTTCTTCAGAAAATTTGAACAAAACCAAGCTACAAGAATATGAGATGGCTTTTATTGTCGGCCTGTGATTTTCGATAGAAGAACGATCATTGATGAGTGTCTCATAACTACTTCTCATAACATGCTAGATATGGCATTTAGCATTGTTCGTCTAGAATTTAAGTTTCCTGGAAAACTGATGCGGAACGATAAACATAGACTTGGTTTCCATTATGATTTACCAAATTGTGCCAATTACACCATAAATACATGAAAGACAAGACTTCTGGGGTAGGATATACTCACATCTTCAGGGCCATTGTAAGAAGCAACCCGCCGATAAATAGTCTGGTGGAGAGTGAGAAACCAATAATTAGAGAAACTTAAGGTTCACTAAACTAAATTTAGCAATGACATAAAACTTTCCCCAGGACACATGCAAAATAGACAAAGGGGATCTAGCTTAATGGTCGAATGCACGCCATTTTTATGGAATACATCGAAGGATCTGAGTACTTGCAAAATATCAGAAAAGTGTGAAATTTGTTTTGAACATTATCAGCTTAGAAATCAACATCTGTGTGCGCGAAAGAACCATTGACCAAAGCACTATAACAAATAAGAGTATACCTGACTGAGGCCAATTATAGCAGTAAATTGTAAATTATAAGGTCTTCTCCCACTTTGAAACCAAGTTCAAGCTTGGTTGGCAAGAAAAATGTGAGGAAAGCAACGCAAATGAAAAGAAAAAAATATATAGAAAACATCTGTGTGTGTGAAAGAACCAGTGACCAAAGCACTATAACAAATAAGAGTATACCTGACTGAGGCCAATGATGACAGTAAATTGTAAATTATAAGGTCTTCTCCCACTTTGAAACCAAGTTCAAGCTTGGTTGGCAAGAAGAATGTGAGGAAAGCAACGTAAAGGAAAAGAAAAAAATATATAGAATATAGAAAACATGAATTTATATCATTGGTTCTATATGATAATAAAAAAGCTCATAATATCAGTCACAACCCAATACTAAGTTTTTTATTTTAATAGAGAAAATGGCGGTGAAGATTCGTTTAGCAAGATTGGGATGCAAAAACAGGGCATTTTACAGAATTGTTGCTGCTGATAGCCATACTCCAAGAGATGGCAAACACCTTCAAGGCGTTGGTTTCTACGACCCCTTAGCAGGTTCCCTCTACTTCTCTTATTATTTTCATATGCTCAGTTCACAGAAGATTTTTTTTCTTTCTAATTTTAAAGACCTGGACTTTGAAGGCTTATTGGGTTTATTTCAGGTTCTCATATCATCAATGCATGGTATGTGTAGATAACTTTGTTACTCAAGACTTGGGGGATAATGCATTTGTAATTTTATTTTCTGATGTATATGTAGTTTTATATGACCATTGATAGCAATGATTGTTCATAGTTCATTCTGTCATCAATTAAAGGCTCAAAAATATGTTCGTAGTTCTTAGTTTTAGTAGTTTTGTAGGTTAATTTTCATCTATTTTAATTTAAATCTAGTCCAAACTAAGGTCACTGGATCAAGGTTTTAAGAAAGTGTATTTCTTTCCTCTTTCATTTTTCCGCATAAGGTTGGATGGAGCCCAGAAATGAGATGCAAGCTCACATCATGAAAATGGGTCAAAATTCAAAAACATTCTATCAAGTTGCCAAAGCAGGGGCCAATCCGCTTCTTGATGCTCGGGCAATAATAGCCATATCGATGGGGACGACGACTTGACCTCAAGCCAGATCTGGGCCAATCCTCTTCTTTTTCCAGATTTGCCTTGAGGTCAAGTCGTCGTCCCCATCGATATGGCTTATAATTACTTCTTCTTTTTACATGCTTCCTTCCAGCACATGAACACACACAATCTATTCAAGGGAAAAGGCATCTGCCGATAAAAAAGTAAAAAGGAAAAGGCATCTAAAAAGATGCACAACCTATCATACTAGACCGAGCAATATTCACAGAGGTTGCACGTTGTCGGTCTTCGTGGAAGTTTCCCATCTACAAAGTGATGCGGCAGGAAAGGGCATTTTAGTCACTGTCTGTTTTTATCTTAGTATTTATAAATTTTTATTTGAAATTTATTTTTTTAGTTTTTTTAATTATTTTGATGTATTGAAATTAAAAATATAATATTTTTTAAAATATAAAAATATTATTTTAATATATTAAAAAAAACAATAACTATTAGTTGTTATTAGCATGGATGTTATGTTATTTTCTCTTTAATTTTTTAATTATATATTTTCTTTAAACACGAAACACTTCTAACTCACGTCAGTCTTTAGTTGATTAATTTGTACTTCAAATTCTTTTATAATTTTTATGGAAATTACGTATTCGGTCTTTGTTTGATGCACTATTTGTCTTTGCCTATAAATAATAATTTAATTAATTTTATTTTTTATTTAAAATTTAAAATTTTTTATTTTTTTGGTTTTTTAATATATTGATATAAAAAATAATTTATTAAAAATAAAAAAAATATTTAAAAGTATTTTCAATAAAAAAAACTCTTTAAAAAATTGTTGCAACACTCATAAACACCCTTCTACATATCTTGGGTCCAAGTACTTGTACAAATTAGGATATTTTTGCCTTCACATTATATTATAATAGTTATGATAATTTGATTGAGAAGAACTTATTACACAACCTGTTTGATATATATATATATATGTATGTATGTATATATATATATTAAAATAATATTTTTTATTTTTTAAAATTAATTTTTAATATTAACACCAAAATGGTATAAAAATAAAAAACTAATTTAAAATCAAAAAATCCAAATCCAAATTTAATACATATAAAAGGCTTCCCGTTTTTTTTTTTTTTTTGGATTTGTTAAGACATCAAGTCTTCGGTCAAGTGTTAACACGTATAGAGGAATTTATTGACTCCACATTATATTATAATGGTTATTATGATTTAATTAGGAAGAAATGATATCACTTATTATATTACTAAAATAAAATGATACAGTTAGAGAAATAATATGGTTTATTTTTTTTTTTAGAAAACAACATAGTTTTAAAAAAATCTGCTATTTACATCTCGATTTTAATATATATATATATATGTGATTTTGCAAAATCACAATCTATCCAAATAAATCGGCAGATGCCTTTTTCATTGAATAGAGTGTGTGTATTAATGAGCTGGAAGGAAGCATGTAAAAAGAAGAAGTAATTATAAGTCCTCCTTGAAATTACGTGTTTCCTTTTTCCTTATATATATATATATAATCACCAGCTGTCGTTATCAAGAGTCATAGCAGTGTTGACGAGAAACACGTAATTTCCAAACCCAGCTTCCCGAACACGCTGCCCAAGCACTCGCCAGGAAGCGCACTTAAGGTCGAGTCGTCGTCCCCGTCAATAAACAATATTTTAATAAATTTATTGGGAAGAAAACGAAGTCGTCTTGAAGGAGAGAGGAAGGGACGGGGGATGGGGAATTTCCAGGAAATCAACAAATGGTTACTTCCGCAAAGCCTAAGAAAACACTTGGATTTGATGCCTATAAATTATACATATGCCTAAGGCAGGGTCTTAAACGCTTAAAGCCTACTGATACTCAAAATCAGCCTCATCTTTTTTCCTTGAGTTACTTCCGCTCTCTCCCTCCAAACCTACCTTACCACCAGAGTCCTACTCTTGTCTCTTCGAAATGTTTGCTTATATCTTGAGATTCATCAAACGAAACCGTCATATATCTCCATCGCCATCTACTCCTTCCACCTTAACCACCGCCCAGCCACAAGGAATTAAATATGATGTCGTCCTTAGTTTCAGAGGAGAAGAAACTCGTGTTGGTTTTACCAGCCACCTCCATGCTGCTTTGAAACGGAAACAAATCCTAACTTTCGTGGATGATCAGCATGCGAGAGGAGATGAGATTCCGGAATCACTTCTGAGAACAATTGAAGAGGCCAAGCTTTCTGTGATTGTTTTTTCTGAAAACTATGCATCTTCCAAACGGTGCTTGGAGGAGCTTGCAAAGATTTTTGAACGTAGAAAAAATAATGGACAGATAGTTATTCCCGTATTCTACAAGGTGGATCCATCCCATGTAAGAAATCAAATAGGGAGGTTTGGGGATGCATTTGCTAGACTTACAGGGAATAAAGCTCTGACGTTGGAAGAAGTGCAGAGCTTCAGAGACGCTTTGACGGATGCAGCCAATCTATCTGGATGGAGCTTAGGGAATTCTGAGTAAGCTCTTGAAATATATCCCATGAGAAAATTTTCGTTCATTTATGGAGGATTTGAAGTTTAATTTAAAATTATTGAGAATGATGAGCTCTGTGAATCCATATTTATTTTATTTGATTTTGAAAACGTTGTAGCGAAGCACTTGTATATATAGATATTATGTGGTTGATTGTTTTGTGTTTTAAAATGGTTTTTAAAAAAATTAATTTTATTTTAGTGTTTTCATATTATTTGTGTTTATATTAAAAAATATTTTAAAAAATAAAAAACTGTTATTTAATGTAAAATGTTTGTATAGTTATATATTAAGTGGTTGCTTGTTTTTGTATTTTAAAATGTTTTGTAAAAACTTTAATTTTTTAATTTTAAATTATTTTAATATATTTATATTAAAAATAATTTTTTTTAAGTTATTTGTAGCGAAACGCTTGTATAAATATTAAGGCTTGTATTGGTATTAAGTGGTTGTTTGTTTTTATGTTTCAAAATGTTTTTTTTTAATTATTTTTACTCTTTTAAGATTATTTTGATGTATTTATATTAAAAATAATATATTTTTGAAAAATATTTTTTTGATCCTCACGGTAAATTTTACAGGACAGATAATGTTTTCTTTTGTCGTTAAATAATATTCTATTTATTTGAGGTGAAAAGGATGGTATGAGAAAACATCTTATGCATTTGCATTTAATTGATTTTCTTAGATAAACACCGATTACATGTACTTTCCAGTTTTCAACGCTTGATTAATATAGAATGTCATGTATTTTTACATATCACTGAACTCAATGTTATCATCGATTCATGTGCTACATTAGCCCTATCCATTGCCAGTAATGATGCTCAATTACCCATGCGTGCCTGCTACTAAGGAGCGGGTATGTTTATATGTTTCTTCTTGTCCGGTCCATTTTGACTCACAATTATGTGTGTTCTTCTTGTTTGTCAGGCTGGAGTCTGAATTTATTGAGAAAATCGTTGGAGATGTTTTGGAAAAATTGCATGTCATGTCTTCAAGTCACACTACGACGGGTCTATTTGGAATTGATGTTCGTGTTAGCAAAGTTGAGTCTTTGTTAAATATGGAATCTCCAGATGTTCTCATTGTAGGCATATGGGGAATGGGTGGTATCGGTAAAACAACGATTGCTGAAGCTGTTTGCAGCAAGGTTCGTTCTCGATTTGAAGGAATCTTTTTTGCAAACTTTAGGCAGCAATCTGATTTGCGAAGAAGCTTTCTCTCATGGCTGCTTGGCCAAGAAACTCTGAACACTATGGGATTCTTGAGTTTTCGAGATTCTTTTGTGTGGGAGAGACTTCGTCGCATAAAGGTTTTTATTGTTCTGGATGATGTGTATAATTCAACGGCTTTGGAAGAATGGAGAGATTTGCTTGATGGACGAAACAGTTCATTTGGCCCGGGCAGTAAAGTTCTCATAACAAGTAGGGACAAGCAAGTGCTTAGTAACGTAGTAGACGAAACATACAAGGTTGGGGGGTTGAACTATGAAGACGCTATTCAACTCTTTAGCTCAAAAGCCTTGAAGAATTGCATCCCCACAATTGATCAAAGAGACTTGATAAAACAGATTGCATGGCATGTACAAGGCAATCCGTTGGCTCTTAAAGTTTTGGGTTCCTCTCTCTATGGTAAAAGCATCAAAGAATGGCGCAGTGCATTGAATAAACTAGCTCAGGACCCTCAAATCAAAAAGGCGTTGATAATTAGTTACGAAGGGTTGGATTCAGAGCAACAATCCATATTTCTTGACATAGCACATTTCTTCATCGGACGGGGGCAAGACGAAGCAACAGGAATATTAGATCGCTTATATGGTCGGTCTGTGACGTTCGATATAAGCACGCTCATTGATAAGTGTCTCATAACTTCTAATGATTTTTATCCAAGGCTAGAAATGCATGATTTACTACGAGAAATGGCATTTAACATTGTGCGTGCAGAATCTGATTTTCCTGGCGAACGTAGCAGGTTATGTCATCCTCCTGATGTCGTTCAAGTATTGGAGGAAAATAAGGTTAGATCTACAGCCATTAACTGTCGTTCATGTATTTGCTCAAAAGTTGATGTGTTGGAGCAGGTTGTATTACTGTTTGTTTATTCTTTGTTCTTGTTTAACAGGGAACTCAAAAAATTAAAGGCATATCTTTGGACATGTCTGAGTTATCGAGAGATATACAGTTGAAATCTAATGCCTTCGCAACGATGTATGGTCTTAGATTTCTCGATTTCTATCACGTTGCTTCCTCCGGAAGATATGAAGTATACCTAGGGGGTTCCTTCCGAAAAGATAAAGTGCACCTTCCTCCTACTGGCCTCGAACATCTTCCTCATGAGCTGAGATATCTGCGATGGGATGGATTCCCTTTGAAATCCTTGCCGCCATCTTTTCGTGCTGAACACCTGGTCGAGCTTCAACTACGCAGAAGCAAGCTTGTAAAACTATGGACAGGAGTAAAGGTATGATTTAATTGCTACAGATTTATGATCAGAAATATGAAGTTGGAGGTGCTACCTTTCTAATTATGCCTTTTTCCGTTGACAGGATGTTGGAAATTTAAGAAAAATTGACCTATCTGCCTCTGATGATTTGACGGAACTGCCAGATCTATCAAAGGCCAAAAATTTAGAGTGCTTACAACTCAACGCCTGTCATAGTTTAACCGAGGTTCCGTCGTCTCTTCAATATCTTGACAAGCTGGAAGAACTTGATGTCGAATTTTGCCGTAATATTAGGAGTTTTCCAATGCTTTATTCAAAGGTTCTCAGATTCTTTAATATGTGTCATTGCCCATATTTGACCACGTGTCCAACGATTTCACAAAATATGAAAATCTTACGTTTGTCGGGCACTTCAATCAAAGAAGTTCCACAATCAGTTGCTCGCAAGTTGGAAGTCCTTGATCTACGTAATTGCTCAGAGATGACCAAGTTTCCAGAGATTTCAGGGGTTATAAGACAATTAAGACTACGCGGAACTGCTATTAAAGAGATGCCCTCATCAATCCAGTTTCTCACAAGACTCCCCGCTTTGCAAATGAGTGATTACTCAGAACTTGAGAGCTTCCCAGAAATCACAGTGCCTATGGAATCTTTGGAGATGCTTTTTTTGAGTAGATCAGGCATTAAAGAGATACCTTCGATATCATTTAAGCATATGATATCTTTGAGGGTTCTACATTTAGATGGAACGCCACTTAAAGAGGTGCCCTCGTCAATCCAGTTTCTCACAAGACTCGAAAAGTTGGATATGAGGGGTTGCTCAGAACTTGAGAGCTTCCCAGAAATCACAGTGCCTATGGAATCTTTGGAGATGCTTTTTTTGAGTAGATCAGGCATTAAAGAGATACCTTCGATATCATTTAAGCATATGATATCTTTGAGGGTTCTACATTTAGATGGAACGCCACTTAAAGAGGTGCCCTCGTCAATCCAGTTTCTCACAAGACTCGAAAAGTTGGATATGAGGGGTTGCTCAGAACTTGAGAGCTTCCCAGAAATCACAGTGCCTATGGAATCTTTGCAGAGTCTTAGGTTGAGTAAAACAGGCATTAAAGAGATACCTTCGATATCATTTAAGCATATGATATCTTTGAGGGTTCTATATTTAGATGGAACGCCACTTAAAGAGCTACCCTCATCAATCCAGTTTCTCACAAGACTCGGAGAGTTGGATATGAGTGGTTGTTCAGAACTTGAGAGCTTCCCAGAAATCACAGTGCCTATGAAATCTTTGAAGAGTCTTAGGTTGAGTAAAACAGGCATGAAAGAGATACCTTCGATCCAGTTTCTCACAGTACTCGAAAAGTTGGATATGAGTGGTTGCTCAGAACTTGAGAGCTTCCCAGAAATCACAGTGCCTATAAAATCTTTGCATAGTCTTAGGTTGAGTGAAACAGGCATTAAAGAGATACCTTCGATATCATTTAAGCATATGATATCTTTGAGGTCTCTGCATTTAGATGGAACGCCTATTAAAGCGTTACTTGAGCTCCCCACTTCGCTTTGTTATCTAAATACACGTGACTGTGCATCACTAGAAACCGTGACACCAATCAGCAATAACAACGACTATGGCAATGCATGGGATTTTACAAATTGCTTCAAATTGGATCAGAAACCGCTGGCAGCAGCAATGCATTTGAAAATTCAGGTATCTCTCTTAACCCCCTTGTCTTTCTTTCTTCTCTCTCTCTTGCTTGCTTCATCACATTTTCGAAATGTGACTCTTGTGTTACAGTCCGGAGAGGAGATCCCACATGGCATAATTCAAATGGTTCTACCGGGGAGTGAAATTCCAGAATGGTTCGGTGACAAAGGAATTGGATCTTCAGTTACCATACAGTTGCCCTCAAATTGTCATCAGCTCAAGGGAATTGCTTTCTGCCTTGTCTTTCTATTCCCTCTTTCCTCCTGTGATTTCGATGATCGTTCTTATGTTCGCGTATATGTTCATGTTAAGAGTAAAAACGGTGAGCATGATGGTGATGATGAAGTCGTCTTCGCTTCCAAGAAAGGCCATGCTCTGTCATCTGACTTGAAGACATGGGACTCAGATCACATGGTTCTACTGTACGATCTCCTTTTGGTAAATGATTTGCGTAAAAATTCTGGCAATGAAGTTACATTTAAATTCTACCACGAAGAAGTGAACTACAAAGAGCTGGAGAGAGGTCATACGATCCAAAGGTGGATCCAAAGGCCTAATGTCGAGTCGAAAAGTTGTGGGGTGTATCTGCACTTTGATGAAAATCCACCGGCGGACAAAGGTTACAAAAGAAAATTTTGGTAGATATAAAAGAAATAGAAAGGGAGAGAGAGTTCTGTAATTACTGCAAATTGATCTTCAATTATTGCTTGGTTTTCAAGATAGCTGTAAATAAATATTGTTATTCCCTTGCAACTGACTAACGAACTAACTCTCTGTTATTCAACTAATTCCTCAACTAACTGTAACAACCATCCATCTAACTAATGAATCATGTGCGCATTTATTCTTGCACATGCAGAATACTATAGATAAGAGAGTAAAAAAGCAATTCAATCCAAATACACTAATAGTAAACTGAAGGAAGGATTCAGTTTACTATACAAATTATGAATGACTGTCCTTATGGTCTTCTCCACCTTAATTCACTTGTAAGTTTGGTTTTCTATTTCTACAAATAAACAAATAAATAAATAAATAAATATACACACACACACACGGCCATGTTTTGGATCTTTGATTTCTATTTACTAACCAAATTACGAAAACTTGTTTGTCTCCAGCAATAATTAACCATCAAACACTAAGAGAACCGATTCTTTTTCATGGGTTCGTATCAGCATTCAACCAAATTGAGATGCATTCTGCGAGCGTAATTGTAGCATTATTATATTATAAAAAATATACCGTGCACCTTCTTGCTTATTCGAAAGAAAACCTCGCAGAAATCTCGAGAAAACGCAGGATGTAGCTCTCCCTCTCTGTGATGAAACTTATTGATGAAACTTTCGGTGGGCTTAGAGGCAAGATCAAGAACCAACTTTATCAAAAATCACAGGAGCCAATAAACCCATCTTTCGAAAAACACAATTAACTGATAACAGATCTTATGCAATGTATTATATAATTCTCCATTTTCAAATTGAAGTTACAATCATCTTCCACACTTATCATATTCTCAATTGTTTAATATGAAAAAATAAAACGAGTTAGTAGATTCTCAATTCACAAAACCAAGTTTAATGACTAATGAAGAAACCAAGTTGTTCCGTGAATTCACAGTTGTCCTATCTACCGGGCAGGGTCTTGAAAATTGCAGGGGCAAGAAAGATTTAAATGACCTGAACTAGACATCATTTAAAATTAAAAGAATAGATGGTTCTTACCTTGGCTTGAAAATCTTAGGAAAGATAGATGTGAAAGAAGATTCTAGCGGGCACTCTTCCTCTTTTGCACGCCTACGCTATAACTAATTCTCCGCTTGTAGACGCTGGATGAGACCAGAAGAGGGCATCTCTGATCTACCGATTCACCACTGAACGGCTTTGGCTTTCTTCTTCTACTCGACCGATATAGTAAAAGATCACTTGGATTACGTTCCTGAGAGGCTGAGATACCAGATCTCTTGGTTTTTCAAACTTTAAAGAAAGACATTAGGGCAGAATACATGGTTCTTTACTTCTTTGCTTTTGCTATTAGTGAAGTTAATACACACACATGTATGCTGGGTCTCGCCCGGGTCGACCGGGTCACGAATGGATCGCGATGGTTCCTCCCAAGAATATAAGATGCACCTTCCTCCTACTGGCCTCGAACATCTTCGTAATGAGCTGAGATATCTGCGATGGCATAAATTTCCTTCGAATTCCTTGCCGCCATATGTTCGTGCTGAACACCTTGTCGAGCTTCACCTACGCAAAAGCAAGCTTGAAAAACTTAGGACAGGAGTAAAGGTATGATTTAATTGCTACAGATTTATGATCAGAAATATGAAGTTGGAGGTGCTAACTTTCTAATTATGCCTATTTCTGTTGACAGGATGTTGGAAATTTAAGAAGAATTGACCTATCTGACTCTCCATATTTGACGGAATTACTAGATCTATCAATGGCAAAAAATTTACAGTGCTTAAGACTTGCGAAGTGTCCAAGTTTAACCGAGGTTCCGTCATCTCTTCAATATCTTGACAAGCTGGCAGAAATTTATCTCGAATTTAGCTATAATCTTAGAAGTTTTCCAATGCTTTATTCACAGGTTCTCAGAAAACTGACTATATGGCGGTGCCTAGATGTGACCACGTGTCCAACGATTTCACAAAATATGGTACGGTTAGAGTTGAAACGAACTTTAATAAAAGAAGTTCTACAATCAGTTGCTGGCACGTTGGAATATCTTTATGTAAATGGTTGCTCAAAGATGACCAAGTTTCCGCAGAATTTAGAGGATATAGTAGAATTAAATCTAAGGGTAACTGCTATTAAAGAGGTGCCCTCATCAATCCAGTTTCTCACAAGACTCCGTGATTTGGATATGAGTGGTTGCGCAAAACTTGAGAGCTTCCTAGAAATCACAGTGCCAATGAAATCTTTGGGTATTCTTGACTTGAGTAAAACAGGCATTAAAGAGATACCCTCGTCATCATTTAAGCATATGTTATCTTTGAGGTTTCTATTTTTAGATGGAACGCCTATTAAAGAGCTACCCTTGTCAATCAAAGATATGGTACGTTTGCAATATCAGTATTTGCATGGAACGCCTATCAAAGAGCTACCCTTGTCAATAAAAGATATGGTATGTTTGCAACATCTGACTTTCCATGGAACGGCTATTAAAGCGTTACCTGAGCTTCCCTCTTCGCTGACATTAGGGTTTCAAAGGGATTTCACAAATTGCTTCAAATTGGATCAGAAACCGCTGGTAGCAGCAATGCATTTGAAAATTCAGGTATCTCTCTAAACCCCCTTGTCTTTCTTTCTTCTCTCTCTCTTGCTTGCTTCATCACATTTTCGAAATGTGACTCTTGTGTTACAGTCCGGAGAGGAGATCCCACATGGCATAATTCAAATGGTTCTACCGGGGAGTGAAATTCAAGAATGGTTCGGTGACAAAGGAATTGGATCTTCACTCACCATACAGTTGCCCTCAAATTGTCTTCAGCTCAAGGGAATTGCTTTCTGCCTTATCTTTCTACTCCCTCCCAGGACATGCCTTATGAAGTCGATGATGTTAATGATAATTTATATCTTGATTACCATGTTAAGAGTAAAAACAGTGAGCATGATGGTGATGATGAAGTCGTCTTAGATTCCCAGAGAAGCCTTCTATCACGTTACTTGAGGGCATGTGACTCAGATCACATGGTTCTACGCTACGAGGTCGAATTGGTAAAGCATTTACGTAAATATTCCGGCAATGAAGTTACTTTTAAATTCTACTGGGGAAGGATGGAGGATCATGAGAGCAGAAGGCCTTTCGAGTTGAAAAGCTGTGGGGTGTATCTGCACTTTGATGAAAATCTACGGGCGGACACGGACAGCTACATTTATTTATGACTGTTCAGAAGAAAATAAATTGAGGGAGAAATAAAAGAGATTGAAAGGGAGAGAGAGTTATGTAGTTGCTGCAAATTGATCTTCAATTATTACTTGGTTTTCAAGATAGCTGTAAATAAATATTGTTATTCCCTTGCAACTGACTAACGAACGAACTCTCTGCTATTCAACTAATTCCTCAACTAACTGTAACAACCATCTAACTAATGAATACTAACAACAAAAGAAAAACAGTAAGTAGTCAAGATTCTGTTATTGCATATATTATAACTCTTTAAATAAATAAATAAACTTAAAACTAAGAAATATAAAAATATAAATAAAAAGTAACAAAAATTTTTGAACCGAATTGGGGACCTTAACAGCTAACCAACCTCGCTATAAAACTGGATCCATAGAATCTCTTGACAAAATTTAAGGCCTCTGAAAGTTACAAGTGTATCTACCAGATTGATTACTAGCCACAACCTAGACCTCTTCCTAGATTTAGCCAAGTGACCTTCTTAGATTTAATGCCGCCTCCATAATTATACACCCCACACTCCAATAAATGCCGCCTCGATCACTATTTTTTTTTATTTACATTCTATTTATTTACTAGAAAATAATTTTTAAGAAAAAAATAAATTATTTTTTAATATTTAATAATGTAATAAAAATAAGTTAAAAAATAATTTCTAATGTGTTGTTATGTCATGAAAAATGAGCTAAAAATAACTTATTAATATTTTATTTTTCTCAAGTTTATTAAAATAATAAGGAATAAATCTTACAAATTAAATAGTTGAATGAGAATAAAATTAAAAAAAATATAATTTTATAAATTATATCAAATAAAATAAATAATAATCTAAATAATAGAGATCAAATCTAAAAAATTAAAAAAATAAAAGATGAAGAAATTAAAATAATAATAATCAACATTTCATAAATTATTTCAAATAAAATAAGTAACAATAAAAAAAATGAGAACCAAATTTGATAAATAAAAAAATTTAATGAAAAAATGATAAGGAAAAAGCAAATAGCAATTATAAAAATAAGGACAAAAGTTAATATAAAAATTAAATTTTAAGAGATGAAATTGAAAAATAAAGATTCAAATATATATATATATATATAGCAATTAAAAGTTTGAGGATAAAATTTGATATAATCAATATATATAACAATTAAAAGTTTAAGGATCAAATTTGATATGATCAGCAAATAATAACATTTCTAAATTTTTCACAACTTCCAAGAAGTGTTCTCTGTCTAAATTTTTCAAAAAAACACTTTCCTGAAAATCAAACTATATTTTCCTTTAACTAGAAAGTGTTTTCTGTTGACCAACTTTTCTAACGACAAACAAACACAAGAAAGTTTGAAAAGTGATTTCCAAAAACCACTTTCTAGAAAACAAACATAGCAAAAAAAAAAAAAAACATTTTCCTGAAAACCAAGCCAAATTTTTTTTGACTTGAAAATATTTTTCGTTGACCGGAAAGTGTTTTCCGTTAACCAACTTTTTTAATGACAAATAAACACGGGAAAGTTTGAAAAATAATTTTTCAGAAAACAAATATGGCCTTAATGGAGTCACTGATTCAGGTGATGGATTCGGAACTTCAGTTTCAGATGGTTGGGATTCATGCTTTGCAGCAGCTTGCAGCACCCGGCTTTCAACATCTGAAGATGAAGGTGATGCAGGTAAACCAATGCGGTTGTTTTCCAGTTTTCTTGCTGCCCATGAAAATTCCTGGACTCCAAGTCTAACGGGAGAGAGCAAACGCCTTTAAAGAAGCGTTTGAAATCCTAGTTAATCAAGATTACAACAATCCAAAAACTTGGTTAAACATGATCCAACTACTGAAAAGAAACTAATTGCAAACACCTTCAAAGAAGCATTTGAGATCCCAGTTAATCAAAAATCTTAACAATCCAAAAACTTGATTAAACATGATCCAACTACTGAAAAGAATCTAACTTTGAAAATGATTAAACAACTTCTAAACGTCTGGTGGAGGTTAGGAAATATGAACCTTGATAATGTCATAGGCAGTTTGCTTATCAACATGACTCAGGCTTCTGACATGATCAGAACATGGTCAAGAACCTAGTGTTGAAAGAACATTTAGACACAGAAGAGATTTGCCATATATAAATTTTTCCGTGCCCTTTACTGTGCAAACACCAAGGTTCATTTTGTTAATGTTGTGCTAACATATGACACCTATCTATCTACTAGGTGCGTCTTATATAATTCATTGCGCATTAATAAACATAGACTTGATTTCAGAGCTGGTTCCATTATGACTTACAAAATTGTGCCAATTACACCATAAATACATTAAGGACAAAAGATTTCCGGAGTAGGTTATACCTCACATCTTCCTTAAAATCTTCAGGGTCATTGTAAGAAGCAACCCGCTGATAAATAGTCTGGCGGAGTGTGAGAATCCAAAAATTAGAAAAACTCAAGGTTCACTTAACTAAATTTATCAATGACATAAACCTTTCCCTAGGACACATGCAAAATAGACAAAGGGAATCTCGTTTAATGGTCGTATACATGCTATTTTTACAGAATACATCAAAGGATCTGAGTACTAGCACAATATCAGAATGTGTGAATTTTGTTTTAACCATTATCAGCTCAGCAATCGACATCTATGTGTGTGTGAAAGAAACATTAACCAGAGCACTATAACAAATAAAAGTATACCTGACTGAGGCCAATGATGGCAATAAATTGTAAGGTCTTCTCCCACTCTGAAACAAAGTTCAAGCTTGGTTGACAAGAAGAATGTGAGGACAGCAACAAAAAAGAAAAGAAAAAGAAAACCATCGTCTGTCGAAACATACACAATTCCTATGGCTTGCATACCCAGTTTATGGTAGCCCATCAATTACATATATACAAACACTCATGATGCACATGTTCATACAAGTGTGATTGCACATAGCACACTCTTTTTATTTGTTTTTGAAATAAGTCTCTCCACGTAAATTTACACACGCATTGCACAGACACAAGTACATCTCATATGCCTCTGTGTGCGCATGTTGTTCTGTGCAGTGTGGATACCATTTTGATAGTATCCATTGGGCACCAATGTGCACCCAACAAAGAAATTTCACTCTTTC